CTCAGCCCAGCGGGTAGGCCCAAACGACACTTTGTTTGGGCCTGGCGGCGCTCTTGAGGCTGCCACCCGCCGATGGAGGCTGAACCGTCCATCTGGACGGTCCAGGGTCTGGCCTGGCCTCGCAGCATTGAGGCCAGACCATGGCCTACCGGTATAAGTACCGGTACCTGCCTCAGTAGAGGCATCGACCTACCGGCACTATACCGGTACGGTATGGTCAGCGCCAGAGCGCTGTTGTGATGCGCTAAACTTAGCGCAGGGGCTGAAGCAGGAGCGCAGCATAGCGCAGATTAGCGCAGAAGCGAGCGGAGCAGCGGCAGGGCGACTGAACCAGCACGGCGGCCATTGCCGCCTGAGGTACTGGGAGCTTGGAGGATCTCTCCTCCTCTCCCTCGCCAGTCCCCTCTCTCTCTCTCTCTCTCCTCTTCTTCTCCTCCCTCTTCTTCTTCTTCCTCTTCTTCTTCCTCTTCTTCTTCTTCTTCTTCTTCTTCTTCTTCTTCTTCAGATTGGAGACTATCCAGTTGGACAGAGATYAGAGTTGGACTTCGGTGATATGAGACTGTGGTACTTACCTGATTGGAGACTTGGAGATTGTTGGGGCTGATACTCGGCTGCATCACAGTTCGGACACCGGTTACATTTGGACTCTGTACCTCCGACATTGGTGACCTATCGTCCTCGACACTTTGATCTTGTTGGATGACATTTTGGACTACCATATCGGTGACCTATCAGATTCTATCTCGGTGACTTTCAATGCTGTCTACCTACCCCACCTCCTTCGTCTCTCCTCCCCCATTCATCTGTGTATGTTGTGTACGGGGCTGAGCACCTTCTTTGTATGGCTCAGACCCCACCATCTCACGATTGTATGTGTGTGGAGTGATGCTATGTGAGTCAGTCTATGTGAGTCAGTCTATGTGAGTCAGTCTATGTGAGTCAGTTCGTTATCAGACTTCCGCTGCATACATGCTCATCCTATATTGGTTGATCTTTGGTTCTGCCCATACTCATTGAAGTATGTAACAGTTTTGGTATCGGAGCAGACATAAACGGATCAACAATGTCTAAAGTTGCGGTATTTACTGCGCGCGTTAATAAACGCGTTTCGTTTTGCACATGTGGCACCTCCCACTTACCTGGGTGCCACGTCAGCACCGGACAACAGATTGCAATGGAGTTTGCTCCGATACCAAATTGTAATGAACTCAGTCAGAAAGATACTCTTCAGATGTCGAAGTTCCAGTAGTTTCAGATCTCTTCAAAGTCTCCAATTAACGTGAAAACAATATCTCCAACAGTACCTCATTACCAGTAGACGAAGAGAGTGGAGGGAGGATAGACAAGGGAGAAGGTGGAAGTGATAATCAAAGATCACACGATAATAGCCCAACCTGTCCCACTCCTTCTCCCTTCACGTCATCAATCAACAATAGTAACAAGTTTGATAAAGTCTGATCATACAGAGGTGCCATGTGGCACCACTCTCTTATAAAGACGATGAAGACAGCCAGCAGCGAACAATATCAATGCCGGCCTCAGGTAAGTATCCCGTTTCCCAATCATCCACAGATCCCGATCTTCCTCCTCCTCACAACCAGTCACCTCATGTAGACAGCGTGGACAATGCCACGCCAGCAGTCGAGACAGGTGGCATGCGCCACATCATCAATGTAGACCAGTGGCATGTGTCACATCAGTATGCAATGTAGACCATAGACGTGTGCCACATCAGCATGCAATGTAGACCATAGACATGCACCACATCAGCATGCAATGTAGACCATAGACAGCGCCACATCAGAATGCAATGTAGACCAGAGGCAGCGCCACATCAGCAATGTAGACACGTGGCCTGCGCCACAACAGCCTTGAAGACAAGTGGCAGCGCCACATCAACAATGCCTAGCGCACGATGCAGAGTGTGCCAACATGCCGTCACAGTCCGCGTCGTCGTCCACAGTGCCTGCGTCCAGCCAGCGTCTCGCCAGCGTCGTGCTAGCGCCAATGCCAGCGTCTGGTCGAAGTCAAGCCAGCGTCCAAGCAGCATAGCAAAACTGAATGTTGACCACCTTGAACACGGCCTTTAAGTAGCATTTGACAAGGCTGTCTGGCCTCGGTTCCCTCCCTCACAGTCATCCAGATTGACTCATAGCCGAGGGCCTGGATTGTGTACAGTTGCAGATTTCCCTTTGGACCTGATGCTGTCTGGGTACCTGCATACAAACAAATGTGTGTGCCTGACCGGCAGCCTGGGCTGGGTACCTTTGACTTTGACTGTTGGGTAGAGCGACAGTTGACTTGGTCAATTGTGTCTCGCCCAGGCCCTGAATCTTTTTGTGGGGTGTTTTGCACCCCCTTCGGCCTGGGTCTGAGCGCGGCCTGTAGCCCTCAGACTATCCACGAGGCATACACCATGGGTTATTGCACCGGCCTTTTAAGGGGAAAAAAAAAAAGAAGGAAATGTTTGACCGGATGCCACAACCTGCAAGAGATTTTTTATTTATTATTATTATTTCCCCCCCCGAAAACAGGGCCTTATGGTCCTGGCTCCATATCCATTCTGGGGAGTGTCAGTCCGGTTCCTTTTCCACTGGCAAGTCGAGAAAAAAAAAAAATACACACACTCACACACACGCTTCCTTCCGTCTGTCCGAATGACCCCTGCCCAGCATTGATTTCTCCATCTTCATGGGTGATTGACTGTCAGCTTGCCTTTGTACTCCAAGTCCTCTCAGCTAGGGTGTATCCTTGATGTCGGGTCTACTTGAAGACCTACACTCTGAGAGAGGCCAAACCCTGTCCAATCTCCCTTGTTCATTGTTGCTGGGCTCTTTTTGTGCCTTTTCTAGAACCCGGTGTCCTCGTCTGTCTATGAACGCCTTTCTGCTGTTGTCGTTTTTGGTCCGCCTAGTTGTCCTGCTATACCCAGATTGTAGATGATTCTTCTTGTGTCCAGGAGATATCCTGGCCTGTTGCTGTGTCTGGGTTATGCCAGTCCTTCCATCTCAAGCTGAGTCCATTTAGCCAGGCCACTTTACCGTTTGCCAACCAAATCCGGTTGAATTTTGTCATGATTATCTCTTTTGTCTCCGGATTGTTCTGCACCCATGTTTTGACCTTCTTCTGCTGGCATAGAATTTCCGTCTCGATCATCCCTTTAGTGCCTGCCCAAACCTTCTCCCTTGGATTCTTGGTGCCCTCCAGTGTTCTGCTGCATCTCTCTTTCCAAATAGCCCAGAGTGTGACCTTGCGAATCATTCCGAACCAGATCCTTTCTGTTTTGCTCAGGTTAGAGGGTAGGTTAGTCCAGAGGAGAAGTTGCAGGGGGTGTTCTGGAAGGGGGGACAGAAGAAGGCAGTACCATAGATCAGATGCCCTTGCCCAGTATTCTGTGGCTTCTTTGCACCTAATCAGACAGTGTATTAAGTCTTCTTATTCCTGGTCTGAGCAGGCTTTGCAGATATCGGAGCTATTCGGATCATTCTTCTGAGTTTGATCAGTCTTATGGTTTTGCATTTTTTCCACAGCATCCTAGATATTTGTTCTGCGTCAGTGCCAATTAGCTTACTCCACCTGTCCTTGATTACTGGTTCCGGATCCTTTGTTTTCAATAACATCTTGTAAGTTGTAACCTTGCTTGACCGTATACTCGGAAATTGGAGTAGGTGGTTTGCTTGTTCTGTCTCTTTGTGAGAGCCAGGCCCATTCCTATGGGTCAAATTCTAGGTCCTGAATTGATGTTCCTATCTGAAAATTCTGTTTCGGGCCTTTCGGCCAGATTCCCATCACCCTCACTTTGCGAAGTGTGAAGGCCTGCAGCGTTGTTAAGATAGCCCTTGGCCTCTGTCTCGCTTGTCGATGTTGTCCTCGATTAGGATTCCCCATTCCCCTCATTTCCAGGTGAATTCCTCTTTGCGTAGTTCTTTCCAGCTGTTTGGAATGCTTTGTATGATCTTCTCCAAGTTCTCATCTCTGTGGTGCCTTTCAGCCGGGCTTTGAGCCTTTGAGGTCATCTTCGTCCAGCCAGTTTATCCTTTCATCACTCCATATATCCCCCACTCTCCAGATCCCATTTTTGATCCATGTTAGCCACCTGCTGCCCGTATGGGATAGAGACCAGGGCTGGTTCCCTTCGTTTGTGACCCACGGGTTCCCAAACAGCGGTTGTCTAAATACTTCTTTTGAATTGGGTCTGTCTGGCATTCTGAGCCACACGGGCCCCAGTTAGGGCCCGGTTACAGACAGGCAGGGTAGGCCTAAGGGACGACGGTTCAGCAGGGTAGGCCTAAAGGACGACGGTTCAGATGAGGCCCAGATGGTCCTGGACCACGGCGGTTCAGGCAGACCTAGGGTAGAGGCCCAGGCCAAACGGCCACAAGGCCGGTACCGGTCCAGCATAGGACCTACCGGCGGCGTTTCAGAGGCTGCCACATTTAGGCGCCAAGTCCAGTTTGAATCTGGACCGTCGATTCAGATCAACGGTCCAGGCCGCTAGGCACCAGCAGGTAGGAGGCCGGCCCAGCACTACAAAAGGCTGGGTACCAGCCTCAGCGGTAGGTTGAAAGCTAGAGGTTAGTATGGACGAGGTTAGTCTTCAGGATTAGCGCAGCAGCCCAGCGTTAGCTCGATTAGCGCAGTGCTGCAGCACAGCGAGGACCAGCGAGGGAGCAAGAGTTCAGCGGCGAGGAGATTAGCGCAGCATTGGGCGCAGCGCCAATTACCGGCCTGGCCCCCTCGCAGCGCCATAGCTACTGTGCCAGGTACCAGGGAGCTAGGGTTCGCCTTCTCTCCCTCATCTCTTCCCCCGCTCCTCTCCCCTCTCTCCTCTCTCTCCCTCTCTCTCTCTCTCCTACCTTCTCAGTCTCAGTCTAACTTCTGGGTTCTCCTACCGGACTACTGCAGCATGAAGGATGGTTACAAACTCTGATAACATTGGGAACAGCGACATTGGGACTACGAGTTGAGGACTATTTGGGGATCTGATTTCATCTTCCTTCTAAAGATGTACTTGACATTGTGAGATCGATATCTGAGATATTGTGAGACTTGTTATTCGCGACATTTCGGATTTTCGTCACTTCTGACATTTCAAGATACTATCTTTGGAAACATTGAGTCGACGTCATCTTCCCTCTCCTCCTCCTTCGTCTCTCTCCTCTCTCCCTTCGTTCGTGGATGATCTCAGTCCCTAGCCCTTCGTCTATGTCTGAGGCCAGGGCATTCACACCCCGATGAATGTTTGAGAGTGTTCGATTGCAGTCCGAGTCTGGTCTGAGTCAGTCCAAGGTATCTCAAGTCTTCCGCTTGCATTTGTATTAACTATGTATTATCTGGTCGGTTCTGGGAATCTGCGCCATACTTATGACTGTGTTGCACGAGTATGCAACAGTTTGGTATCGGAGCAGACCAGAATTGGATGACTCACCATTAATTGATTGATTGATTGATTGATTGATTATACCTGCTCTCTGTTATCATTAAATCACAAGTTGCAAGTTTTTTTTCTTCTGTTCTCGTACTTTCATAGTAATTAGGTCGTTAAAATTATAATTTTAGGTTTGCGACTTTTCTCCATGTCGCGCAATTAGGGAATCGCTAATTATGAGCAACCTAATTAGCGCTAATTAGGGTTAGTCCTAACCTAATCTAAATGGCCTATCTAACCTATGCGAAGTAAGTGCCAGCCAGGCACCGCGCCAATCAAGGCAGATCGAGCCTGAGCACGA